CGGCCGACGGACCCCGACCCGACGCGGCGGCCGTCGCTCGCGCCGACGGGCTGCGAGGATCTGTGGGCGGCCGCGGGCCTCGCGTCGTCGGCGTCGCTCGTCTACGACGGCGACGCGTGGGACACGGTCTGGTCCACGGCGGACATGGCGGACTTTCTCCCCGCGGAGGGCGCCGAGTACTACATGAGGTTCACCGCGTCGAACGACTGCGACGACGACCTGCTCTTCGGCTTTGCGGGCGGCGGCGGCTGGCTCACGGTCACCATCGCGGCCGGCAGCGCCGACGCCGTCTACGAGGTCGCCGGCGACTGCCTCTACGGCAACGCCGCCGGCGACGTGCGGTACGAGGTCCGCGAGTCGAACACCATGCGCGGGACCTGCGACGTTGCCTTCTCCGACGTCATCTTCTACGCCGGCCGCTGCACGCCGACCGTCAAACCCTCGGCGCGGCCCTCGGCGCCGCCGACGGCCTCGCCGCGCCCGACGGCCGCGCCGTCGTCGACGTTCCTCCCGACGCCGCTCGCGACGCCGCGGCCGACGGTCCGCTGCGGCGCCGTGGCCTTCGCCGAGCGCGTCATCACCGACGGCGCGATCGGCGCCATCTTCGCCGTCGCCGTCGATCTGGACGGCGACGGCGACGTCGACGTGCTCGCGGCGTCGCGCGACGACGACACGGTCGCGTGGCACGAGAACGACGGCGCGCAGTCGTTCGCGGAGCGCGTGATCTCCGACTCGGCCGACCACACCTACGCCGTCTTCGCCATCGACGTCGACGGCGACGACGACGTCGACGCGCTGTCGGCGATCTACAACGACGACACGGTCGCGTGGTACGAGAACGACGGGAAGGCGTCCTTCGCGGCGCGCGTCGTCACGGCGTCCGCGGACGGCGTCCGGGCCGTCTTCGCCATCGACGTCGACGGCGACGGCGACGTCGACGTCCTCTCGGCGTCCTACAGCGACGACACGATCGCCTGGCACGAGAACGACGGGTCGCAGTCCTTTACACAGCGGATCATCGCGGACTCCGCGGACCAGGCCTCGTCCGTCTTCGCCATCGACGTCGACGGCGACGGCGACGTCGACGTCCTCTCGGGGGCCATAGCGGACCGCCTCGCGTGGCACGAGAGCGGCGCGAGCGACGCGTGCTCCCTCGGCGGGACCGCGCTGAGCGGCGTCGACTGCAACAGCCTCGACGACGTCGACAGCTACTGCAGCGCCAGCAACGGGGTCTCCTACTGGTGCCTCGACAGCCCGAACTCCGCCGGCATCGCCGCCTACGGGTCCGGCGGGAGCTGGGACTGCGCGACGCTCGAGCTCGCGACGGTCGCGCACGACGACGCCTACGACAGCGGGGCGACCTTCCACGCCGGCTCCACGGACTGCGGCGCGTCGTCGGGCTTCGGCGAGCGCGTCATCAGCGACGCTTACGACCTGAGCTACGTCGTCGCCGCCGACGTCGACGGCGACGGCGACGTCGACGCGGTCGCCGTGTCCTTCTACTCCGACGTCGTGGCCTGGTACGAGAACGACGGGTCCCAGTCCTTCGCCGACCACGTCGTCACGGCCGCCTTCGACGGCGCGTCCATGGCCGTCGCCGCGGACATGGACAACGACGGCGACCTCGACCTCGTCGCGACGGAGCAGTACGAAGACGACGTCGCGTGGTTCGAGAACGACGGGGCCCAGTCCTTCGCGGAGCACTCCGTGGCCAAGGGGGCGCTCGATGGCGCCCTCCGCGTCGTCGCGTCCGACGTCGACGGCGACGGCGACGTGGACGCGGTCGCCGTCGCCATCAACGGCGACGTCGTCGCGTGGTACGAAAACGACTGCTCCACGTCCGCGCCGACGGCGAGCTTCGGGCCGACCAGCGAACCGACGCACTCCCTCAGCCCGACGCCGTCGCCGACGCCCCGGGCGACGACGCTGTGCACGTCCGTGGCCTTCTCGGAGCGCGACGTGCTCTCGGCGGACGGCCCGCGCTACGTCTACGTCCACGACGTCGACGGCGACGCGGACATGGACGTGCTGTCCTGCGACGCGGACGCCGACGACGTCAGCTGGTGGGAGAACGACGGCAAGAACGGCCTGTCCTTCTCGCAGCGGTTCGTCGGCGCCGGCGATCTGCCGACGGGCGTCGACGCGGGCGACATCGACGGCGACGGCGACGTCGACATCGCGGCGACGGCCTACTCGGACCACACCGTGACCTGGTACGAGAACGACGGGGCCCAGTCGTTCGCGGCGCACGTCATCAACGCCGCGGCGACCTACGCGCGGTCCAGGGCAGCAAAAGAGAGCGAAATTCCAAACTTCAAAGCCTCATATCTCGGCCGTTTCCCACTCGTTTTGGCTAATTTTTGGACGAGCGATCATCTCTCGGCGCGGTCTCGAAGCATGGATGCTTTTTCCGGAACGCGCGCGCGCGGAAAACTCACGTTGAACCGACGTTGAATCACCCTTTTGCTGCCCAGGCGCGGTCCGTGCACGTCGCCGACGTCGACTCCGACGGCGCGCTCGACGTCGTCTCCGCGTCGACGGGCGACGACGCCCTCTCCTGGTACGCCAGCGCGGCCCTCGAGGACGAGAACTACATCTCCAATGGGGGCTGCGACGGCGCGACGTACGTGCGCGCGGTCGACGTCGACGGCGACGGCGACGTCGACGCCGTCGCGACGTGCGGCGTCGACGACACGGTCGCCTGGTGGTCCAACGACGGCGCCCAGTCCTTCACGATGCGCACGATCACGACGCTCGCGGACTACGCCATGGCCGTCTGGGCCGCGGACCTCGACGACGACGGCGACGTCGACGCGGTCAGCGCCGACTACAGCGACGGCGCGATGACCTACCACGAGAACGAGGGCGACGCGACGTCCTGGGGCCGCACGCAGCTCGTGACGGACATGACGGGCGCCCACGGCATCCACGTCGGCGACCTCGACGGCGACGGCGACCTCGACGTCGCCGCGTGCAGCGCGCTCGACGACGAGGTCCGATGGTTCGAGAACGACGGCGCGGCGCGCTTCACGGCCCACGCGATCACGTCGAGCGCCGACGGGGGCATGGGCGCCCACATCGCGGACCTCGACCAGGACGGCGACCGGGACGTCCTCGTCGCCGCCGCCTACGGCGACGAGGTCCAGTGGTGGGACAACGACTGCGGCACCCAGGCGCCGACGGACTCAAAGGCGCCGACGACGTCGCCCACGGTGTCCTTCGCGCCCTACCCGCAGCCGACGCCGCGGCCCACGATCCACTGCGAGTCCGTGTCCTTCTCGGAGACGGCCGCGACCGAGGCGTGCTACTCGTGCCGCGAGGGCTTCCCCGTCGACCTCGACGGCGACGGCGACTTCGACCTCGTCGCCGCGGAGCAGAACGGCGACGCCTACGTCTGGTACGAGAACGACGGCGACATGAGCTTCGCGGAGCGAAACGTGGGGCCGGGCGACGTCGACGGCCCGCTCTCGGCCTTCGCCGTCGACGTCGACGGCGACTTCGACGTGGACGTCGTCGGCCAGGCCTACTACGCCGGCCTCGTCCTCTGGTACGAGAACGACGGGTCCCAGTCCTTCGCCGAGCGCGTCATCGCCGACGACTCGTCGACGCCCGCGCGCAAGGCGTGGCCCGCGGACGTCGACGGCGACGGCTCCGTGGACGTCGTCGCCACGTGGTACGACGCGCGCAGCAGCGTCGAGCTCTACCTCAACGACGGCGCGAGCTCCTTCAAAGCGTCGACCGTCGCCTCGGCGAGCTACGGGATGGACGTGTCGGCCTGCGACGTCGACGGCGACGAGGACGCGGACGTCGTCACGACGAGTTACTACACGTACGGCGCCGAGTGGCACGAGAACGACGGGTCCGCGGCGAGCTTCACGGCCCACACGATCACCGACTGCGACATCCCCCGGAGCGTGACGGCCTACGACGTCGACGGCGACGGCGACGTCGACGCGGTCGCGACGTGCGCGGACGACGAGGCGGTCGTCTGGCTGGACAACGACGGCACGAACGAGGCCTTCGCGTACAACGAGATCTCCGCGGACCTGCCCAGCGGGTTCAAATGCCAGGCCGGCGACCTCGACGGCGACGGCGACGTCGACGTTGCCTGCACGTCGTACTCCGACGACCTCGTGATGTGCTACGAGAACGACGGCGCGCAGTCCTTCACGACGCACACGCTGGGCGAGCCGGACTACCCCGTCATGCTCAACTTCGAGGACATGGACCAGGACGGCGATCTGGAGATCATCGTGGCGGCCTACTCGGATTCCGCGATCTACCTCTACGTCAACGACTGCGCGACGTTCGCGCCGACCGCGTCGCCGGCCCCGACGGCCGTGCCCAGCGCGCTGCCGCCGGCGATCGAGGACGAGTGCGGCCGCGTCGACCAGCTCGCCTTCGGCGACCTGGCGTCGCACGCGACCGGCGACGACGCGTCGTCCGAGACGTCCGTCGGGGGGTGCAAGGTCGAGCTCTTCGGCGACTCCATGGTCGCCTACGAGCTCGAGAGTGACCTGGAGATCACGGCCATCTCGACGCTCGAGTTCTGCGTGGCGGCCTGGGGCGACTGCGCCGCGCGAGGCGTCGCGCTCTTGCCGTACGCGGACCGGTGCGAGACGTCCGCCGGCTGCTACGTGTCCCAGAGATTCTTCTCCATCAACGGGGGCGTCCGTTCTCCCGGGGACACGTTCACGGACTACGAATACGACGCCGACGAGGGCGGCTACCAGTGCTTCGGGATCGATCTCGCGGACCACCTCGACGTCGGCGACTTCTACGACGGGGTCGCCTTGATCAACGACTGCGGCGAGGGCGAAGCGGGCACGACGGCGTTCGCGGCCGTCGTGCTCGTCGAGGGCACGCGGCCGCCGACCGTCTGCCCCACGACGTCGCCGCTGCCCACGCCGCAGCCGTCGATCTCGCCGATCCCGACGGCGACGCCGACGCACACGCCCTGCGCGGCGGGCTACTACTCGAACGACCTCGAGGGGCCGGGCTGCACGGCCTGCCCCGCGGGCAAGGCGACGAACGAGTCGGAGGCCACGTCCTGCGACATCTGCACGGTGAACACGTACGCGGAGCGGAAGGGCAGCCCGGTCTGCCTCGACTGCCCGGCGGGCCGCCAGTCGGGCCTGGGCTCCGCGTCCTGCTCCTGGTGCATGAGCGGCCAGTACGAGATTTTGAACGACGCGGGCAACAAGACCTGCGTCGACTGCGGCAACGGCACCTACTCGCCGCTCGGGCTCTACTGCCTCGAGTGCGGGCCGGGCTACTACACGGACGACCGCGTGAACTGCGTCGTCTGCGAGGCCGGCTCCTACAGCGACCTCGAGATCAACACGGCCTGCGTCGCCTGCGCCGCGGGCTTCTACTCGGCGTCGGGCCAGTCGGCCTGCGACGCGTGCGTCGCGGGCCGCTACACGCCGCGCGCCGGCGAGTCGATCTGCTCGCTCGCGTCCGCGGGGTCCTACGTCAACGGCAGCGGCCGGAGCGCGCAGGCGTTGTGCGCGCCGGGGACCTACAGCTCCGGCGCCGGGGCCGCGACCTGCGAGCGGTGCGCGCCCGGGACGTACCAGCCCTTCGAGGGGCAGACGTCGTGCGCGATCTCCGACGCGGGCGCGTACGTCGCGGAGAGCGGCGCGTCGGCGCAGGCCGCGTGCGCGCCGGGCACCTACTCCGGCTCGGGAGCGACGGCGTGCGCCCCCTGCGCCGCGGGCACCTACGTCTCCAGGGCCGGCTCGTCGTCGTGTTCGCTCGCCGACGCGGGCATGGTCGTCGCGCGCGCGGGCGCGTCCGTCCAGGCGCCCTGCCCCGCGGGCACGATCTCGGGCTCGGCGGCGTCCGCGTGCACGAACTGCTCCCTGGGCTTCTTCACGCGGGCGCCGGGCCAGAGCTCCTGCTCGCTCGCCGACGCGGGCTCGTTCGTCGCGGCCGAGGGCGCGTCGCGCCAGGCGCTCTGCCCCGCCGGGCGCTACAGCGGCTCCGGCGCGAGCGCGTGCTCCCCGTGCCTCGCGGGCTACTTCAACCCCGTCGCCGGGTCGTCGACGTGCTTCGTCTCCAGCGCGGGCGCGTACGTGGACGCGGCGGGCGCCGCGGCGATGACCAAGTGCCCCCCCGGGACCTACTCGGGCGCCGGCGCGAAGGCCTGCACGGCCTGCGCCGCGGGCTCCTACGCGGCGGCCGACGGGTCGACGACCTGCGCGACCGTGACCGCGGGCTCCTACGTGTCCTCGGAGGGCGCGTCGAACGAGACCGCGTGCCCCGCGGGGTCCTACAGCGGCTCGGGGGCGACGGCGTGCGCGCCCTGCGCCGTTGGGACCTACGTCTCCGCCGAGGGCCAGACGTCCTGCACGCTCGTGAGCGGCGGGAGCTACGTCGGCGTCGAGGGCGCGTCCGCGCAGACGGCGTGCCCGCCGGGCTCCCACAGCGGCTCCGGCGCGACGGCCTGCGACGCCTGCGCCGCGGCGACCTACGCGTCCGCGAACGGCTCGACGTCCTGCGCCCTCGTCGACGCGGGCTTCTACGTGCCCGCCGCCGGCGCGAGCGCGCAGACGCCCTGCGACCCGGGGTCGTACTCGGGCGCGGGCGCGGCCGCGTGCGTCGAGTGCGAGCAGGGGCGCTACACGGCGTCGTTTGCCCAGTCGTCCTGCGCGTTATCCACGGGCGGCTCCTACGTCGCCGGCACGGGCGCGACGTCGCCCGCGGCGTGCTCCGCGGGCCGCTACTCCGGCAGCGGCGCCGTCTTCTGCGACCTGTGCCCGTCGGGGACGACGTCCGACGACGGCGCGGCGACGTGCACGACGGCCGACGCGGGCTACATCGCGCCGTCGGCCGAGCTCTACCGCATCGACCTCGCGTCGTCCATGGTCTTCGCCGGCATCAAGGACGCGGCCGCGTTCGAGGACGACATGCTCGAGGGGTCCCTCGTCTTCTGGGAGACGCAGCTCGTCGAGGACTCGTTCAGCGACAAGGTCGACGGCGCCAGGGTCGCGTCCGTCGGGCCGGCGGTGCTCGTCGACGACGACGCCGTGCGGCTCTACTTCGACATCGTCGCGAACTACTCGGCGGCGGCGGCCGAGAACATCTCGACGGTCGTCGGCCTCATCAACCTCGACTTCCAGGACAAGGTGTCCCTCCTCATCTACAACGGCGCCTTCGAGGAATTTATCCAAAGCGCGGGCCAGGCGCACCTCGCGAACGCGTCCGTCGACGAGGACTCGAGCCTCGCGGCGATCGCCGAGACGACGTCCGCCTACTCCCTCATCGGCAACTCGACCTTCGACGGCCAGCAGGCCTGCCCCGCGGGGACCTACTCGCTGAGCGGCGCGTCCTACTGCGTCTACTGCGACCCGGGCTCCTACACGGACTCGGACGGCCAGACCTCGTGCCTCTTCTCCGACGCGGGGTCCTACGTGGGCGTCTCCGGCGCGACGCAGCAGTGGACCTGCACGGCCGGCCGCTACACGGCGGGGTCGGGCATGCACGCCTGCGCGGCCTGCGGCGCGGGCACGTTCCAGGCCGCGGCGGGCGAGACGTCCTGCCAGCTCGCGAACGCGGGCTCGTTCGTCGGGTCCTGGGGCGCGACGGCCGAGGATCCCTGCGCGCCGGGCAAGTACAGCGGCTCGGGCGCGTCGGAGTGCGGCGACTGCGACGTCGGCTTCTACACGGGGTCCACGGGCCAGTCGGCCTGCTCCCTGGCCGACGCGGGGTTCCTCGTGAACGCGTCGGGCGCGTCCGCGCAGACGCCGTGCGCCACCGGAACCTTCAGCGGGTCCGGCGCGTCGGAATGCTCCGGGTGCGCGGTGGGCTACTACGCGCCGGTCACGGGCCTCTCGGCCTGCTCCCTCGCGGACGCGGGGTTCTACGTCGACGCGCGGGGCGCGGCGAAGCAGACGCCGTGCGCGGCCGGCTCCTACTCGGGCTCGGGCGCGTCCGCGTGCTCGCCCTGCGCCGTCGGCTACTACGCGGCGACGACCGGGCTGTCCAGCTGCACGATCTCCGACGCGGGCTTCTACGTCGACGCGGCCGGCGCGACGGGCATGACGCCCTGCGCCGCGGGCTTCTACAGCGGCTCCGGCGCGACGGCGTGCACGCCGTGCGCCGTGGGCACCTACAGCGCGAACGTCGACGGCGCGACGTCCTGCACGACGGTGACGGCGGGCTTCTACGTCGACGGCGAGGGCGCGTCGAACGAGACCGCGTGCCCCGCGGGCTCCTACAGCGGCTCGGGCGCGACGGCGTGCGCGCCGTGCGCCGCGGGCACGTACGGCGAGCTCGAGGGCCAGACGTCCTGCACGCTCGTGAGCGGCGGCGGCTACGTCGGCGTCGAGGGCGCGTCGGCCCAGACGGCCTGCCCGCCGGGCACGTCGAGCGGGTCCGGCGCGACGGCCTGCGAGCCCTGCGATTTGGCCACGTACGCGTCGTCCGCGGGCTCGACGAGCTGCTCGCTCGTGGACGCGGGCGCCTACGTGTCGCGGACGGGCGCGTCGGCGCAGACGCCCTGCGACGCGGGCCACTACAGCGGCACGGGCGCGTCGGCCTGCGCGGCCTGCGAGGAGGGCCGCTACGCGGGCGAAACCGCGCAGTCGTCGTGCGCGCTCTCGTCCGGGGGCTACTACGTGGCGACGACCGGGGCCACGGCGCCTTCCATGTGCGCGTCGGGCCGCTACTCGGGCTCCGGCGCCGTCTTCTGCGCGCTCTGCCCCTCGGGCACGACGTCCGACGCGGGCGCGGCGACGTGCACGACGTCCGACGCGGGCTACATCGCCCCGACGCCCGAGAAGCACCAGGTCGCCATCGACTCGCGGTTCGTGCTCCAGGGCGTCGACGCCGACGCGTTCAACGACGACGACACGGCGCAGGACCAGCTGAAGACGGCCCTCGAGTTCCTCCTCGTCGACAACCTCTTCTCGGACCTCGTCGACGCGGCCGTCGTCAGGACCGTCGGCCCCGCGGTGACCTTGCCGTCGTCCGCGACGGTCTTCCCCTTCGAGCTCGTCGCCAACTACTCGGCGTCGACGTCCGAGAACATCTCGACGGTCAAGGACATCATCCTCGGCGACTTCCAGAGCGACTTCCGCGACGACATCAGCGGCGGCAACCTCGACTACGCGATCTACCTCGCGCTCTCCGCGCGGCGCCGCCTCCAGTCCGGGTCCGCGCTCTCCGGCGCGACCGTCGACGCCGACGCCTCCGTGGACTACGTCGACGAGGCGACGGTCGAGACGAAGCAGCTGACGGAGGAGTCGTTCGACGGCCAGCAGCAGTGCCCCGCGGGGACCTACTCGCTGAGCGGCGCGTCGGTCTGCGTCTACTGCGACCCGGGCTCCTACACGGACCTCGCGGGCCAGACGAGCTGCCTCTTCTCCGACGCGGGGTCCTACGTCGCGGGCTCCGGGAGCACGGCGCAGTCCACCTGCGGCGCGGGCACGTACACCGCGGGCAGCGGCATGCACTCCTGCAGCCAGTGCGGCTTGGGCACGTTCCAGGCCGCGGCGGGCGAGACGTCCTGCCAGCTCGCGAACGCGGGCTCGTACGTCGGGTCCTGGGGCGCGACGGCCGAGGACCCCTGCGCGCCGGGCAAGTACAGCGGCTCGGGCGCGTCGGAGTGCGGCGACTGCGACGTCGGCTTCTACACGGGGTCCACGGGCCAGTCGGCCTGTTCGCTGGCCGACGCGGGCTTTTTGGTGGACTCGCTCGGCGCGTCCGCGCAGACGCCGTGCGCGACGGGGACGTTCAGCGGGTCCGGCGCGTCCGCGTGCTCCGGCTGCGCGGTCGGCTACTACGCGCCGACGACGGGCCTCTCGGCCTGCTCCCTCGCGGACGCGGGGTTCTACATCGACGCGCGGGGGGCGTCGGCGCAGACGCCCTGCCCCACGGGCAAATACAGCGGCTCCGGCGCGTCCGCGTGCTCCGACTGCGCCGTCGGCTACTACGCGGCGACGACCGGGCTGTCCAGCTGCACGATCTCCGACGCGGGCTTTTTCATCGACGCGGCCGGCGCGACGGGCATGACGCCCTGCGCCGCGGGCTTCTACAGCGGCTCCGGCGCGACGGCGTGCACGCCCTGCGCCGCGGGCTCCTACAGCGCGAACGTCGACGGCGCGACGACCTGCACGACGGCCGCCGCGGGCTTCTTCGTGGGCGCCCCGGGCGCGTCGGCGCAGACGCCCTGCCCCGCCGGGACCTACAGCGGCAGCGCCGCCGTGGCCTGCACGCCCTGCGGCGTCGGCTCCTACTCGGCGAACCGGGACGGCGCGACGTCCTGCAACACGGCGACCGCGGGCTCCTTCGTCGGCGCCGCGGGCGCGACGGCGGAGACGGCCTGCCCGCTGGGGCGCTACAGCGGCTCGGCGGCGACGGAGTGCGCGCCCTGCGCGCCGGGCACCTACGCGGCCGCCGAGGGCCAGACGAGTTGCACGCTCGTCAGCGGCGGCGGCTACGTCGACGTCGACGGCCTCAGCGAGCAGCTCCCCTGCGCGCCCGGCCGCTACAGCGGCTCCGGCGCCGTCGCCTGCGAGCCCTGCCCGACGACCATGTACGCCGCGTCGGCGGGGTCGTCGTCGTGCTCGCTCGTCGACGCGGGCTTCTACGTCGCGGCGACGGGCGCGTCGTCCATGGCGGCCTGCGAGCCCGGGTCCTACTCCGGCTCGGGCGCCTCCGCCTGCACGGCCTGCGAGCAGGGGCGCTACACGGCGGACGTGGGCCAGTCGTCCTGCGCGCTGTCGTCGGGCGGCTTCTACGTGGCCACCTGTGCCGAAACCAACCACTGGTTTGGGTGGTCCTGACCAAACTTGAGAATTCTCTAGCTCGGTCAAATCGAAGTCGATTCGGCTGATTTTTGGACGGATCGATCGCTCTCGTCGAGTTCTCGAAGCCCAGCCGAAGAGCTTGTGTCAAAACATTCGAATACGCTCACATTGAAGTCGGGTTGAATATTTTGTTTCGGCACAGGTGGCCACGACGGGCGCGACGGCGCCCTCGGAGTGCGTCACGGGCCGCTACTCGGGCTCCGGGTCCACGTTCTGCTCGCTGTGCGCCGAGGGCACGACGTCCAACTACGGCGCCTCGACCTGCGTGCCGTCCGACGCGGGCTACATCGCGCCGACGGCCGAGCTCTACGAGATCGCGCTCGCGTCGTCGATCGTCGTCGTCGACGCGACCTTCGACGGCGCGTCGCCGACGGACGCGGCGTCGCTCAGGGCCTACTTCGGCGAGCGGCTGGTAGATGATCTCTTCAGCGACATGATCGACACGGCGGCCATCGAGACCATGGGGCCCGTCGTGGAGTTGGACGACGCGACAATACGACTCTATTTCACGATCGTCGCCAACTACTCGGCCGCCGCGTCGGAGAACATCTCCATCGTCACGCAGCTCGTGGGCCAGGACTTCAAGGACGAGATCTCCCTGTTGATCTACAACGGCGAGCTCCAGGCCTACGTCGACGCCATGGAGACGGGCCCCTTCGCGGGCGCGTCCGTCGACGCGGACGAGAGCCTCGCGGCGATCGCGGCGACGGCCGCGACCTACGTGCTCGTGGGCAACGCGACCTTCGACGGCCAGCAGCAGTGCCCCGCGGGGACCTACTCGCTCTCCGGCGACACGGCCTGCGTCTACTGCGACGCGGGGTCCTACACGAACCTCCCCGGCCAGACGA